CAGCGATCCTGAACTGCATACAGCTTTACTGGAGACCCAAACATTTCTGACAAGCTACAGTTCCAGTGAAGAATAGGATGTGTTGAGTACTCTCTTCCCCCGCCCCCCAGTGAACCCTCACTGACTATATTATAAGACCCAGCAAACAACAGTATTAATTTTTATTCCCCCATTTCAGAGAGCTGTTCAAAGTAGGCTGCACTACAAAAAGATGAAATTAAAAATAAAATCAGCACAACAGAAATAGGTAGTATAGTTTCATCCCCACCTAAAACCATTGAGCAAAATTAAGAGAGATTTAAGAGAACTTGATAGTTCTGATACACTACAGCTATTGCATCTATGAACAATAGCAACAAAGACAGTGTTGGAAAAGCCAAAATACAATTATCTTCATCTATCTAAAAACTTCCCTTGTGCCTCTTGGGTGGCACTAATAACACCATTGGCTGATTATGGAGGCTGACATTTTAAAAGTAGTCCATTAGGTGTTCCAGTCAGGAGGCCACACAAAATGTTGCACATTACAGCTGAAAAGCTGAGCACATTGACTGGGTTTGCCCATTAGTCAAGGGTAAATGCCATTGGGTAGTGCGTGTTGAGGGTGTTGTGGGAATCCACCCATTGATGTAGCACATTATGTGAATCAGACTACTTGGATAAACTGTCTGCATCAGTTTTACATTCTTTAGTGCTTCTAAAGAATCAAAAGAAAGCAGAAGTCTGTGGACACAAGATGCAAATCTGATTAATCCAACTTTAGATAAGTTACTCTTGAAAGGTTAGCTATAAATGTATTAAAATGAAAGATGCCAATAAATCTCATTTGAGAGATATATTTACTTGCATGTATTATGAATTCTTCAGTGGGAACAGGAAGGCTGTTTTCTCAAAAAAAAAAAGTGCCTTAGGACTCTTAGGAGATCTCTCCCTATGTAGATTTAACACGTCTTGATGAAACATTTTGGGGACCAAAAAGTATTAAGGTTTATTTTGAGCGCTCTTTTTATGTTAGCTGTCTTACTGTTAGGCTTTGTCACCAAGTTCTAACTTGCATATTACTAGCAGCAGCCAACTTTAGAAAACAATTATTGGCCTCACTTGGAGAAGCTGGCAAGATGAGTGTGGTCAGTTGCCTTAGCTGAAAAGTTTACACAAAAGCTTCAAATGACTCCAAGTTCTACATCAAGAGACTCATTTATAGCCATAGAGCCGTTCTTTTGCACCACATACGCATATGGAAAGGATGGTCCACCTCTCGTGGTTGCTACATTCTGGCGAGATGGATTTTGTCACGTAAACATGTTTTTTACTTGCCCGGGTAGGGTTTGGGCTTTTGTAATTATATTAACAAGACAGTGAAGTTACTTTAAAAACACATCCTAAACTTCGTTCAGCAAAACACAGTTGTTACATTCATGTAATACGCTATGCTCTAACAAACCACATTATCATGTAACATGATGCCTTGGTTCATACAACATGCTAAGACAGTGCCTCCATACCTTACTGAATCTCAAACTAGCTTAGCCACTGTGCAAACAGCCAATGTTTTAACTGTGAGTGGTTGATGCCACCTCAGAAGAGACATTTAACCTTTTCTTGCCCGTGTGTGCAAAGGAGAACGTTTTCTAAGCTGCTGCCTATGCTGTGGGCCAGGTATCTTTTCCCCTTGTTTACACCTACTTATTTTCAAACGTGCCAATTCTATATTGCTAAAAACGACGTTCTAAGTCACAAAAACCATTGAAGTGGATCAGTTTAAAGTTGGGAATTAACGTTGGAAAAAGCACAACCCCCACGCACCAAGTGGAAAAATCTTCAGAGTGCTTGATGTGGGGTTGTGGTTTTCAAAATTTCCACTTTGGATTGAGGAAGAAAACAGGCTCGGAATGACTGTGCCTGTTTAAGGCAGCTCCGAAAGTGCCAAGGCAGCGGTTTGGGCCGTCTGACCCTCCAGAAATGAGAGAGTTGTGTGCTGCAGGGACCGGAAGGGAGAGTGAGCCACGGCTGGGTCACGGGGCTCAGCTTCGGGAAGACCATGGGATGTGGTTAGCCACAGGCTGCACGCAAGGCAGGCTCAAGAAAGCAGGCGCAGAGACCTGTTTGATCCTTCCAGGGAGGTGTTTGACCTTCTTCGCAGCAAAGACCGTTTGGTTCCTTTTCTCCTGGCCAAACTGCATCCATGGATTTGTGGGAGGCGCGTGCTTGCCATGTTTTCTTCCACAACAGTGGGAGTCTTGCATTTTGAGATTTCAGAGTTGCCTATGGCCCCGAATAATCTTGGAGAGAAGCCCCACAGCTTTATTACATGGTTTTCCCTATGACCGAAGGGGAGAATTATTAAATACAAGGAGCATCAGTTACGTTTCATAAATGTAAGCTTGAATTAATTGTAAGTTTAAATTAAGTCATTTTAGCTTTTCTGCTGGCCTCACCCATTAGTTGTCCTAGCTCCAACCACTGCCCCAGCATGGTGCTTCACCCTGCAATGGCCAAGTGTAGCCCCAGCCTACAAAATATTGGGTGCGCCAGCTCTTCATCTACATGGTTGGTTATTGCTATTTAACAAAGAAGAGAAATGCACTCACATTCCTTATTACTGAAATATGCCTGAAAGACCTCCAGACTGCAAGAATCTTTTCTAAAAGGAAGGTTTGATTCTTAGCACACTTTTCAGGCAGAAGGCTTTTTCCCTCAGCTTTCCAAATCTAACCAACCAGAAATTCACTAGATCATAATATTCTTTGAGAAGAGAGATTGCAAATGTGGCAATTTTATCCCCCAGCATCCACCACCCTGTTGTGGTCAGGGCCCTGGAAGGTGTCGGGCAAATCTTTTGTGGCCCATGGGTGGGATCTGACATGTGATTGCTTCTCTATGTGGTAAAAATGCTTGTTTCACAATTGCAGTCACCCTCCCTGTCGTGCTGCTGCTGCTGCTGCTGCTGCTGCAAAGCCCAGCCAGCTGCCTTCAACCATCCTTGGCCAGGTGAGAACATGCAGCAGCTTCTCCAAGGCAGCAGCATCAGGAAGGGGGTGCAAAATCTCTTAAGCTCAATGACTGTGTTCACACAGCATGCTTAACCGGGTTACTGAGGGAACCCATTTTCTGCATTCACGTGACTTTGAACAATAAATTAACCAAATCTTCATTCATGCTAAGCTACACAAAACAAAGCAAAGTTCACACGGATCCAGGTTCGCAAGTTGTATGACTGCCTCTGCGAAACCTTCGCCTGTCTTTGTGAAGGGTGCAAAAAGTTAATTTCATGCTAAGAATCATTAGGGGAAAAAAATCAGAATAAAACTGCCAATGTGATAATGCCTCTGTATAAATCTATGATGTGACAATTCGTGGATTTCTGAGTCCAGTTCTAATCACTTCATCCACACTCTTTTAGAGTTGAAACAGCTGCAGGAAAGAGCAATTAAAATGATTAAGGCAAGGATCCCCAAATTTAATGGTACCAAAATCCCCTAAAATGATAAATGAATTTGTGCAACCTCCACCATGAATAAAATAAATTGTTTCATTGGGCAAGACTCGGGCAAGAAATACGATAGCACTACTAATAATTCAATTTCAATCTATATATCATAGGGGTCTCAAATTTTGCCAGAACACAGTTGCTCACTGCAGGCTTATGCAGGCAAAGAAGAGCAAAGCCCAAAGTGAGTTATGACAGTGCAAGCTTGATCAGGTTTTAAAAAATGTTGACTCCCTGACCTGCTCATGACCCTCTTGGGACACCCAATCCATAGTTTGAGAACCCTTGGGTTAAGGAATTGGCACAGTTGTTAAAAGGAAAAACTAAGTGTTTGTGGCTTTTTCGGTAACAGGTATTTTATATATGAAATTGTGCCTAGTATGGACATATGGACAGGGAAATGTGGTTTTTTCCATCTTTCACAATTTGAACTTGAACTCACCACTTTAATAAACCAAATTACATCTTTATCCAGCACAGGTTAACGATGGTATTCACTGCAATCAGAGGTAGAATGTGTTTTTGTGAGATACTAAGCCAGGACTGGTGCTAATTCTGAACAAAATAATTAACCATGGGTGCTATGCAAGAAACCTAGTAAGCCACAGCCTGATGTGGTGCTTTGCTGGTAGTCCTCCCAGGTCAGAGCAATATTTTATTTGAGCTGGACACCAAACATCTCCTTTTTATAAAATAAAGTCTTGTAGTAACCCAACTGGGATAGGACCTGGTGAGCTTCCATCCAACCGCTTGGTGCCCTTAATCCACCTGACACATTCCCACAAGTACAACCTCAAGAGCAGCAAAGATGCTTCAGCTGGAGGGGGTCTCTTTTAGAGTTGCTCTTGGATCCTGTTTTGATGTTCAGAGGTCAGAAGTTAAACTTAGCTGAACTCACCACCCAATTCTGAGTTCAGACAACACCTAGAACCATAGTTAAGGAAAGTAAGCTTATAAACTGAAGGTGCATATAGTGGGTAAGGCACACCTGTTTAGTTACAGTATAATCCACGGTCCAATTCAGATATCCTATTATGGCTGCTTTCCACAACACTCCTAACCTGGTTGCTGAATTAATTCATTTTTCTGTTTGCATGATGCATTTCTCATCCAGCTGAAAGAGTTCCTCAATATTTCTGGGGAGATTGTTGTTTCTTGGTTAAATAAATGGTTGAAAGGAAATAATATTGTATTCTCTATTGAAATTGGACTGCCTCTTTATGAAGGTAGGGGTGGAGGTGAGGTGGAGATGGCCTTAGGGAGTGCAAGGAAGCAATGAATGCTGCATATTGCTTTCTGTTTCTGTTTTGGAATATCTACCAGGCCTATAATTCCCAACATTTTGAGACTTCCGTAACTCCATAACTCTTCATTCTACAGAAACAAAGTAAGCCATGGAAATATAGTAGATACAAGCAGAGTGAGCATATATCATGTATGCCTCTTGTCAAATTTGGAATGTTTTTGTGGAGTGTCCAGCTCTGACTACAATCTCTCTTTTGTTGTCTAGATTTCTTGTCCAGCCCTCGGCCAGTGCCTGCACAAACCCCTTTGAACTACACAGATCAGCCTTGCTTTGTGCCCATGCCAGACACCCTTTTTGATAGCAGTGGCAGCAACCTTCTTCCCAACCCATCCAATGCCTTACTTCCAACAGGCCCTGCCAGTTCTCCTGTCTTGAGCAGCCCTCGTCTTCAGGTGTGCAAGGTTGATCCACTTCTCCACTGCTGCGTCCCAGGTTTTGATTCAGCTTGGGGGGGGCGTTCTCTCCTTTTACAGTCCTCTGCCCTTTCCAACCCAGTCTTGGTTCAGCATAGATTCCTGCAGTATCAAGACTTTAAGAGGGAGACACTTGCCCATTTGGAGGAAATGAATTCTTGATATAAATTGAAGCTGGAATAATAAACAGAATCATGTGCTATTTGGATGGGGAAAATAGATTGAAGTCCAAGAATCTGTTCTTGCCTGTTGCAGAGACCTGATCTAGTAATGGGATGGACTCCAACAGAGTATGTAGACTGGCAATATTTCAGCGATCTAAATATGAATAATCCATTCCACTGTTATTTTCTACTTGTAAGTTTCAGATCCACAGTATTGCAGGAATAAATAAATTGCCAGTCATGGTTCTATTTTACCTTATTTGGCTGATTTTACAACAGTGCAAAACCAGGAGAATATTCCAAGTGCTAAATAAACTTGCAAAGTCCAAAGTATTTCAGATATCATAGTGTGGGCTTCTACAGGTCATATAGAATTTGGAGTCTTCCCCTTTTTTGACTTTGGTGCCACTTTTCCCTTTTTCTGGTTGGTTGTCCACCTCAACAATGAGATGGGAGGATTTTTTTTTTCTGCTGCAGCATCTTTCTCCTCTCTTTTCTTTTTCAGTCTGCAGGTGGTTGCCCAGCTCAGCTTGGTTCACCTGGTGCCTTCCTCAGCCCTGAGCTCCCTCCCATTCCTCCCCCATCAACCTCCCCCAACAATTTTGGTCCTGATCGCAAGCAGAAGCCCCTGCTTCCCTACACCCCCCCCAACAAATGGCTTAGCCTCGATCACTATGGATCTTACTGTCCTGCCCCACTGCCCAGGGCCCCTTTGCTGGGCCAACAGCCAGTATGTCCACCACTGTCAGCCCCTTGCTCCAAGCTCCACTACCCATCTGCCCCACTCTTTTCCTGTCCCAGTTCCCCATCACTCTCCACAGCCTGTTTTTCCCCAAATATGCCAGGTTACAATGTAGACTTGCCTTCTGGGTACTATTCTCCCTTCAGTGCATCACAGCTGCTCCCTGGTTTGCCAAGCAGCCCTATTTCTGGCACTGCCAGAGGACAGCCTCCATCTGGAAATGACAGGCCCAAGACCAAGGGGGCAACGATCAAGAACAAGAGGTCCCCAAGACTTCCTGTTCCATCACTTGCAACAGTATCCGACCAATGTCTGACGCAGCTGTTGACCACAGGTAGGACTACAAGGCAGGGATATTTCCTGAGGGGTTTTGCCAGTCTGGAAATGTGTTGGGATTATGACTGCAAAGTCTAATTAAAGAATTGCTTGCATTCTGATTTTTCAAAAAGATCTCATTCTCATTTTAATTATTTAACAGCATGTTCAGACTAATCAGGCAACTACTTTAAAGCATTGAGTGAAATCCAGATTTAGACATACTTAAAGGAGATTTGTCATGAATTATGTAAGGTCCAGTGGCCTACCGTTTTTAAAAAATCATATACCACTTACTATCAAGTAGACATCATTGAATCTAAGCATGAACCTGGATCCATTCCATTATTGTTATTAATATGTATAACAGTACAGATGGTAAGCACCTTCTGAGAAAAGATGTTCCATTAATTGTGCTGGAAAAGTAGGGGCAGGTATTCCTCTTCTAAGATCCACATTGCATACATTTTGCTTGATTTTTTTTTAAAGCTTGCCATGTAAACTGATTCCAGAACAGCACACATTACACCTCTGCTCTGCGAGCTCCATTGGCTGCCAGTTTGCTTCCGGGTCCAATTCAAGGTGCTGGTTTTAATCTTTAAAGCCTTCATGGCATGGGATTGGGTTATCTGAGGGACTGCCCCTCCCCGATTACATCTGCCCGTCCTATTAGATCCGGCAGAGATGGCATGCTTTGACTCCCATCTGCTAGGGACTTACACTTGACGGGTCCCAGGAGGCGGGCCTTCTCTGCCATGGCACCTGCCTTAGCGAACATTCTCCCCCCCGAAGTGAGGTTAGCTCCATCCCTGTTATTGTTCCAGAAGTCCCTCAAGACCTGGCTATGTCAACAGGCCTGGGGCTCCCGAGGGACCGGTATCATTTTAAGATGGCTCCACTATTGCAGTTAATATTCACTCTCTCCTGTGCCTTTAGTTTCATATATTTTAATAATGATTGTTTTTATATTTTTCATAATGACTGTTTTTTATATACAGGTACTCTCCGGGTTAAGAACGCCCAGTTTACAGATGACCCATAGTTAAAAATGGAGCCTACAAATTCAACTTAAGGACAGATCTTAGGAACAGAACTTGTTCTTAAACTGGGGAGTACCTGTATTTATTATACTTCATTGTTCTACATCGCCCAGAGTCACTTTTTTGTGAGATGAGCGGCCATATAAATTTGATAAATAAATAAACAAACAAATAAATATAAATAAATAAATAAATAAAATTAGTGACCAAAGATGACATTTCTCAGATATCAGTCCATGCACCGTTTCCTTAGCTGGCCACAGTTTGGTTCCCTTTGTAGGTTTAGGAGGCCGCCAAGACATGTTTGGTTCACTCAGTCCTAAAACTAAGTCAGCAAACAGAAATCTTCAGTGTTTTGGACTATTAATTCCCATCATTTCCAGAGTAGCCAAAGTCAAATTGAAAATTCTGGGGACTGTAGAAGCAATGCATTTGGAAGGCAACAGGTTAGGGAAGACAATAATATCAGGACCTTGTGTACGCTTTAAAGATGATTTGGAAATACTGTTTTGTACCATTTGTGAGCAAAGCATCTCTTTTAATGAATAGCAAAGAGATGCTGGGCTTATGTGAGGTCCAAAGCATTTCTTCCAAATCAGTTTCAAAGAATGCACAGCCCTAAATTATATATACTTTTTGAAGACTAAACCCCATTGAAATTTCATTTTTATTTATTCTATTTGCATTCTGTCAAATCAGTAAAGACTTAGAGTGGTTTACAAAAGAGTTAACAAAAACATATCCAATAGTTAAAACATCCACAGTAAATATAAATGAATTAAAGCAACTAATCAAGCTTTCAGGGACACAAGAATAAATGTATTATTAATGAGGTTAATTCTGAGTAGACATGTAGAGGATTGCAATGTTTTTTTAGTCCTCGAACATTTTTACAAGTAATAAATTGATCTGACTGGTTAGTTTACTGGTTACAACTTTAGCTAATGAATTTATAGGAGATTCCAATTTAAATTGTAGATGATGCCTCTGCATTTTTTGACCGTCAAGACTATTTTGATGCTGTAGTGGAGAATGCCAATATTCAGAGGGGCTTTTAACAATAAATAGCAATTTTCATTGATATTAATAGCAAATTTCATTGATACTAAGAAACTACTGCCCTGGGTTCTGGAAAACTCTACATATGGGCCATATATTTTTAGGATAACAGGCAGGTAGCTGATTTTTTTTTTTTAAAAGCAACATTTTAATCATGACAGAGCTTATTTTCTTCTTCCCTGCCTGCCCATGTAATATGTAGTAGTTTGTGGGTTTATAAACACCTGGTATATGTAAAATTTCCTTACGGGAGGTAATTCTCGTTCCGCAATTACTCTTTGGCCACGTCCACCCAGCCGCCTTGCCCTGGCACGGAGACACCCCACTAATCGTTTCCAAGGGACATGTTCAGTGCTGCCACCTGTAGAGTGGTGGAGAGACCAAAACATATTTTAAATTCCTTTGGTAGAAAACAAGCCTCTCTAGACTCCAGCTGAGACAATTAAAAAAATAGATGTGAATCATCATCATCATCAGTATCATCATTTATATAATCCCATTATCCCAGTGTTGTCCAAACTTGGCCACTTTAAGATGAGTGGACTTCAACTCCCAGAATT